TTCCCAGACGATGATTGAGAACAATCCATGACACTGGCAGGTCTCAGCTTGGCAAAGGGGGCAGTTCAAGATATTAACTCTGCAGGGTGCCCAAACTTTTGCAGACGCCATTTTTTTGTTTTCTGTTATTTTGAAAGTGTAAATGATGGAAATAAAATCTAACTTTTGTTGACATATTATAAGAATGTCTAATCTGTAATTTGATGCCTTTTGGAGATTTTTCCATCTTTCCTTGGCTTCTTTATGCACATTAATACAAATTTTTAGCTGGGGTGCCCAAACTTTCGATCCCCACTGTAGTTTGGGGCAGTATGATGGACAGCTTTGTACGTCAGTGTTAGGATTTTGAATTTGATCCATTGGGCAATCGAAAGCCAGTGAAGGGATTGGCAGAAACGGAGCAGTTGGTAAGGTAGATGAGTCTGGCTGCCGTATTCAGGATGGACTGAAGCGGGGATAGCCAGCGGCGAGGCAGGCCAGTGAGGAGGGAGTTGCAGTAGTCGAGTCGTGATATGATGAGGGAGTGGATGAGCTGCTTTAGTGGTTTCTGGGGTTAGGAACGTGCGGATTTTGGAGATGTTGTGGAGGTGGAGTCTGCATGAGTTTGTTAATGATTGGACTTGGGGCTGGAAGGATAGATTGGAGTCAAGAATGACACCAAGTACTCTGGCCTGCGGGGCGGGCCTGATGGTGGCATTGTTGGACGTTGCTAGGGATCCAGGTATGACCAGAAATGTGTGGACTGACACAGGCAAACGCAGGCTTCAGAAATGAAATAATAATATAATTTATTAAGAACTACACGAGTATACAAACGCACAGTATAAAACAAAACCAAACCTCCAACTAATGTCAGTATGTTCAAGAACACAGACAGGCGTAGTCAGGCTGGGGAGGTGGAGTGGTCAGGCAGGCCGGGTCAGGAACAATCGGGCAGACAAGGTACAAAAGGAGCATGCAGGAGAAAGGTCAGGAATAGCCGGGGTCGGTGCAGGCAGAGTTCGATCAGAATCAAGCAGAGGAAACAGGCAGGCAGGCAGACTACAGGACCAGGTACAGGGGCTCATGGGAACAAACACAAGGGACTGATTGCAGGCCTGGTCCTGCTTAAATATACCTCCTGCAATCAGCCTCAAGTGATGGCTTGATTGCAGGAGTGAGACCCTGGCTGCTGAAAGCAACCTCTGGTAGGAGCTGGTACTGCAGCCCACAGAGCAAGTGAGCCACAGCACCACCAGTGGTGAGTCCATTCCTGACAGACGTGATGGAGAAGTCAGTAGGGGGTGGTGTGCGGGCTTTGAGGAAGACTAGGAGCTCGGTTTTGGAGAGGTTCAGTTTAAGGAAGTGGAGTGACATCCAATCTGATATGTCGTTCAGTAGGCTTGTGATTCGTGCGGAGACTGAGGGGGTGAGGGGTCGAGAGATAGATTTGCGTGTCATCGGCATAGCAGATGACATTGCGTGTCGTCTAGCAGATGCACTCTGGTGTCATTTGTTCATGAAGCGGACCTATTCCACTACTTGCCACCACTCTACCCCTCCTTCCATCACCTATACGTACCATGCTGGGGTTTTTTTTTTTTTCTTTATGACTTTTTTTTAAGCAAAAATGTCCATCCCAGCCAACCTATGCGCATCATTCACCTTAGGCGAATGACATACACACTGCCTGCTGTGCCTCCCGGGATATGCACGTCCCATATCCCAGGAGGAATAGCATTCCATTCAGGAAAGGAAGAGGGTGTGGGACTATTGGATTACCCTGCCGAGATCCTCTCACGCATAGACACAGCACTGTCGCACGTCGCCATGTTCTGACGTCATCGAGAGACCCGCCGGCTCTTCCTGGTTTAGTGGGCAGGCCTCCTGATGATCAAGTGACTTAATTCACTTTTACTGTCTGTAGGTATAAGGATGGATTATTGTGGTCAGGGGCCCTGCTGGATTTTTATTTATTTTATAAAATGAAGAACATAACAAAAGGATTTGGTTCCTACAAAAGGTGGACAGGAGCTCCAAAGCTCCCAGATGGACAGTATAAAAGCCAGGAATTCTGGCCGGGAGATCTTATCGATGGAACATCCAAGGCATTTAAGAAATCAGGAGCTGACTCTGCCCACCAGGTTCTATCTTTAACTAAAATATCAATTTTGGGTGGACTGGCCCTTTAAATGCAGTTGTTTCATTACAACCTGCAGTAGGAATATTTTCTTGGTTTAGTGAAGCACATTTCCTGTGGTCTCTGGGTTTATGTTATTAAGGAGTATTGATTGTTTTATTATTATTGCCTCAGGCTTCCCTGTCCACAAATCTAACTGAACATTTACAAGCTCGTCTATTAAATTATAATTCAAGATGGCCAACAACTTCTCCCCTGTGGTGTACACTATGGAAGCTCTGGCCACTTCTGAGGACAGAGCAGAATGGGAGAATCAAAGATGCAGGCTGATGTATGAAGAGGGAGAAACAGATGAAATTAGGATTTTATTGATGCAGCATTTGTTGTGCCAAAATTAAAGTGATTTGCAGCAATTTTCTTATTAAAGTAACCTGCTTCAGCCCTGGGCATCTATGTGCACGGATGCTCATGCCTCTCCTAGAAAACCAAGGTAGACTACTTTCAGGTTGTGTATTGCACAGGGACCTCTGTGGTCCTGGCCCATTCTTTTGCCCCTGACTGCAACCCTGCTGGGGTCCATTGCGCATTTCCTATGACCCATAACCAGAATTTCAGCAAAAATTTCAACACACTAATTCAGATCATCAAACAAATTTTAACATAACACAAAGATAAAAACAGAAAAGATACGAGCGCTGGATAAAGACCAAAAAGCGACTAGCATGAAAGGCGAACACCAGGAGCCTCCAAAGTAAATATATCAAACGAACATGCAGTGCTAATATAATTCAATGATACATTGATAGAAATGCATATAATCATACGGTGCATATAACTGAAAAGATGGTATTGTAAACACCACTTAATAGTAAAAATGGATCTAAAAATATCTAAACGTCCCGGAATTGTGCTAATGGTGAATAAATATCTCCAACAAGAGTGTTCTTGCGGTGCATAGTGCAAAGTTTCAAGGTAAGATGGTGAGAAAATGAGTGACTTCTGTGACCATGTTCATGAGAGAGCTGTGCATGAAGGAGGTGTGTTACTGGCCAGATCACCAGGTGAAAACAGACTGAAAAAAAGCCAAAGAAAAGAAAACTGATACAGCCACCACATCTAATGAATGGCTTATTAGGATGATCTGGTGGCCACATCATGAATGGTTAAACTCCCCCTGCTGGTGAGACGATTACATATCCCCTGGTACCTGGAGACCCTGAGGTTGCGATACTTGCCCAGCTGACGCAGGCCAGACGACCCTCGCTGTGATCCAGTTCCAATAGGCGGAGGACCAGGAGTTGGTTAACACTCAAATGCGCATTACCATTGCGCTTTCTGGTTAGTGCAATCTACACTCATCTCTGTGGGATGAACATGGTCACAGAAGTCACTAATTTTCTCACCATCTTACCTTGAAACTTTGCACTATGCACCGCAAGAACACTCTTGTTGGAGATATTATTCACCATTAGCACAATTCCTGGACGTTTAGATATTTTTAGATCCATTTTTACTATTAAGTGGTGTTTATAATACCATTTTTTCAGCTATATGCACCGTATGATTATATGCATTTCTATCATGTATCATTGAATTATATTAGCGCTGCATGTTCGTTTGATATATAACACAAAGATAACCCGAGCAAATACAAAATGCAGTTTTTAAATGATTTCATTTATTAAGGTTAAAAAGCTTTTCTGGAAAGCTTAGTTAAATCTCACTTGTCACACCATGACCTAATTACTGCCAGACCAGTTGAATCAAGAGATCACTTAAATAGAAGCTGTCGGACAAAGTGAAGCATGCTAAAAGATCTTAAAGAGCAACACATCATGCCATGATCTAAAGAAATTCAAGAACAGATGAGAAACAAAGTAATTGACATGTATCAGTCTGGAAAGGGTTACAAAGCCATTTCTAAGGCTTCGGGACTCCAGCAAACCACCGTGAGAGCCATTATCCACAAATGGAGAAAACTTGAAACAGTGGTGAACCTTCCCAGGAGTGGCTGGCCTACAAACATTACTCCCAAGAGCACGACTCATCCAGGAGGTCATAAAAGAACCCAGAACAACATCTAAAGAACTGCAGGCCTCACTTGCCTCAGTTAAGGTCAGTGTTCATGATTCAACAATAAGAAAGAGACTGGGCAAAAATGGCCTCCATGGGAGAGTTCCAAGGCGAAAGCCACTGCTGACCAAAAAGAACATAAGAGCTTGTCTCACATTTGCCAAAAACATCTTGATTATCCCCAAGACTTTTTGGCAAATATTCTGTGGACTAATGAGACAAAAGTTGAACTTTTTGGAAGGTGTGCGTCCCGTTACACAGCATTTCATAAAAAGAGTATCATCTTAACCACTTGCCTACCGGGCACTTATACCCCCTTCTTTACCAGGCCAATTTTCAGCTGTCAGCACTGTCGCACTTTGATTGACAATTGCGCGGTCATGATTGTACCCATATAAAATTTTTATCATTTTTTTTCTAAGAAATAGAGCTTTCTTTTGGTGGTATTTAATCGCCACTGGGCGCTTTACTTTTTGCGCTATAAACAAAAAAAGTGCAAAAAATTTTTAAAAAAAAGTTTCTATGTTTCTATTATAAAATTTTTCAAACAGATGATTTTTCTCCTTCACTGATGTGCGTTGATGAGGCAGCACTGATGAAAACTAATAGGCGGCACTGATAGCCACACTAATGAGGTGTCACGGATAGGCGGCACTGATAGGCAGCACTAATGAGGTGTCACGGATAGGCGGCACTGATAGGCAGCACTAATGAGGTGTCACGGATAGGCGGCACTGATAGGCAGCACTAATGAGGTGTCACGGATAGGCGGCACTGATAGGCGACACTGATGGGTACTGATAGACAGCACTGATAGGTGGCACTGACTGGCATCACTGCTGGGCACTGACTGGTGGCACTGGTGGGCACTGGCTGGCACAACCGCTGGGCACTGACTGGTGGCACTGCCTGGCAGCACTGCTGGGCTGCACTGATGGGCACTGGTGGGTGGCACCGGTGGGCACAGGTGGGTGGCACAGGTGGGTGGGCACAGGTGGGTGACACTGGTGGGCACAGGTGGGTGGGCACAGGTAGGTGGCACTTCTGGGCACAGGTGTGTGACACTTCTAGGTGGCACAGGTGGGTGCACTGCTGGGCACAGGTGGGCGGAACTTGCGGGTGGCACTGCTGGGCACTGATCATCAGGGCACTGATCATCAGTGCCCTGATGATCGGTGCCGATCCCTGCTCTAACAACTGCCGGCAGTTCTCGGCAGTACTTTCCTCACGATCTGACAGCGTGAGGAAAGTGCAGCCGAGAACGGGCAATTGCATTTCTCGGTGATCAGCGTGTCATTGGACACGGCTGATCACGTGGTAAAAGGCAGCTGTGATTGGCCTTTTACCACATCACGGAGATCGCCGGGTGCGCGCAGCGCAGGAGAGCGCGTTCTGGGAGGACGTCATATGACGCCCACCCAGAACTGACCGGCCGCAGTGTAGCCGTCATTCAACTATCTGCGGTTGGCAAGTAGTTAACAGTCACACCTGGTGGTGGTAGTGTGATGGTCTGGGGCTGTGTTGCAGCTTCAGGACCTGGATGACTTGCCATAATTCATGGAACCATGAATTCTGTGCTCTACCAGAAAATCCTGAAGGAGAATATCCAGCTATCAGTTCCTGAGCTCAAACCCAAGCACACTTAAACCCAACTGCATGCAGCACGACAATGATCCAAAACATACCAGCAAGTCCACCTCTGAATGGCTCAAAAAAAAAACCCAAAATGAAGGTTTTGCAGTTGCCTAGACATAGGTGTGGCATGACCTGAGACAGGCCGTTCATGCTGGAAAACTCTCCAATGTGGCTGAATTAAAACAATGCTGCAAAGAAGTGTGGGCCAAAATCTCTCCACAGTGATGTGAAAGACTCATTGCCAGTTATTGCAAAGATTGCAGTTGTTGCCGCCAAGGGTGGCACAACCAGTTATTAGGTTTGGGGGGCAACCACTTCTGCACATTGGGCCAGGCAGGTTTGGGCAACTTTTTTCCCTTAATAAATGAAATCGTTTTTTTTAAAAACTGCATTTTGTATTTACGCTGGTTATCTCTGTGTATTATTAAAAATTGTAATCAAATAAAGTGCACCGCTCAGATATATCAAAACAATTAATTACTCATGGTGATAATATTGTGTGAACATTAATAAAACTTAATCACAAAGTGTCCATAGATGATATATTTATATGGTGGAATCAGAATAAAGAGCAGTCCCAAAACCGTGGTGCGATCTAAAGACTTCCAAAGACATCCAATGTGACACCATCCACTCACATGCAAGGCTTACCAGAAGGCATGGGACCCCCTACAAAGAGTGGTCAGTCTGTGCTTTGTGGGATGTCATTGGTAACATCAAGGGAAATATATGATACACCCAAGGAAATGACAAATGATCTTCCAAAAGATCCAATCATTCCCAAGTAAGTTATTGGACCAAGAACACACGTAGTGCAATACATGCAATAAAATATGTATCCACATAGTGTAAAACCATAAAGAATATAACGTTTATTGAGTAAAGATTGCACTCAGATGGTGAAAGGCACAATTCAGCATGTACAAACATAAGAACAGGTCATTCCAACATCCATGATGGCCGGTTGCATGCGTGGTAGCGTGTATGCGTGGCTCCTCCCCTACGCATTTCGTCACATGTGATGTCATTTTGAAAGCTGAAAGCTTTCATTTGTTAGCCACCTATGTAAAAGCCATCTAAATCTTCTAATCCATTTAATTTACCCTCTTCATAGCCAATGGTGGCATGTAGCTCCCTATTCCTGGGGGGGAAAGTCTACATCTGACACTGCAATATGACATTTTTGGGTTTGGATTTGCTTTAATTAATACCACTGAGGGCGTATGTATGCCAGGCCACAGCAAATGGATGGTGTCAGGGTGGCCCATTCACATCAGTGCATTGGGAGCGTCCAGGTAAAGTGCATCTAAAGCTCAATTTTATTTTATTTTTATTTTGCATTGAGTGGGGAAGTGTTAGAACCTATGTCAGGCACCGGCTGGAGAGATATAGTGTCGCTGTGTGTCTTGGTGACCAGTTATAGGAAATCCAGAAATTTACAGTGAGCACCATATGTTTTTTATTTTTCTTATGTCTTTTCAGCCTGACAAAGTGAGCCATTTTGAACCCCAGAAATATGTTATCTTGCTCTTTTTGACCCTTTATGGGACCCTCTACTGCAGTGGTCTCCAAACTGAGACCTGCGAGGCTGGACATGCCCTTTATCTGGCCAATGATGGGGCATTATTCTCCCCACAGTGGGGCATAGTTCCTGCCACTGACACGAATGAGTGGAGCTCTGTTCCTCCCACTACACCAATGATGGGGCACTATTCCTCCCACTGACACAATGATGGGGCACTATTCCTTCCACTGACACCAATGATGGGGCACTATTCCTTCCACTGACATCAATGATGGGGCACTATAGCTCCCAATGGCACCAATGATGAGGCACTATAGCTCCCACTGGCACCAATAATGGGGCACTATTTCTGCCACTGACACCAATGATGGGGCACTATTGCTCCCCTTGACACCAATGATGGGGCACTATTCCTCCCACTGACACCAATGATGGGGCACTATTCCTCCCACTGGCACCAATGATGGGGCACTATTCCTTCCACTGACACCAATGATGGGGCACTATTCCTACCACTGACATCAATGATGGGGCACTATAGCTCCCACTGGCACCAATGATGGGGCACTATAGCTCCCACTGGCACCAATGATGGGGCACTATTTCTCCCACTGACATCAATGATGGGGCATTGTTTACTCCCACTGACACCAGGACATTTTTCTACTCCCAACTGGCCACAGTCCATCCCCCCTAAAGGCTGAAGGACAGTAAACTGGCACTTTGTTTTGAATGTTTGGAGACCCCTACTCTACTTGAATAAAGTTGTATCTGGACTATTAATCTGTGGTTTGGCACTTTGAATTGGGTAGCACATTGGATCTTCCAGAACGTTGTATAATAAGGACCTATCTAATCTGTCCAATCAATCTGTATCTAGTTGGGCAGGCCCTTGCACTACATACATGTTGAGTTCAGAGACGTGAGCAGAGCCTAGCAGGAGGACCATGCATCTTGAGAGGCATTCGTAAATGCCATGGGAGGAACAAGCAGACTATGTCATGGGGAGTCCAAACATACAGTGTCATGGGGGGTCCAAACCGACAAACAATATCATTGGGGGTACCGAACAAACAATGTCATGAGGGTGCAAACAGACAGTGTTATAGGTGGTCCAAACAGACAATGCCCTGAGGAGTCAAAGCAGACAATTTCATGGGGGTTCAAACAGATGGACATTGTCATGGGTGAAAGGGGTGGCTCCAATCAGACAACATCATGGGGGGGGGGGGGGGGTCCAAACAGACGAACATAGTCAAGAGGGGTGAGGGTCCAAGCAAACAGACAATGTCATGGGGGGGTCCAAATGGACAATGTCATGGGAGGGTCCAAACAGACATTGTTATAGGGGGTCCAAGCAGACAAAAAGACATTGTCATGAGAGGGTTCAAACAAGTTATGTGGGGGGTCCAAACAAACAATGTCCTGAGGAGTCCGATCAGACAATTTCATGAGGGGTCCAAACAGACAGACATTGTCATGGGGTGGAGGGGGTGGCTCCAAGCAGACAGACAATGTCATGGAAGGGGGGGTCTGATCAAACAAACATTGACAGGGGGTGGTCCAAGCAAATAAACAATGTCATGGGGGGGGTGAGGCAAATAGACAATGTTATGGGAGGATCCAAATGGAGAATATCGTGGCGGTCCAAACAGTCTCTGTCATGAGGAGAGGTTCAAGCAGACAGACATTGTCATGGGGGGTCCAAACAGACAATGTCATGAGAGGTCCAAACAGACATTTTCATGGTGGTGTGGGGGAGGCTACAAGCAGACAAACAGACATTGTCATAGGGGGTTTAAAGAGACAACGTCATTGGGGGGGAGCCAAAGTGGACAATATCATGGGGGGAAGGTTCTACATTGACAATGTCATGGGGACTTCAAACAGACCATGTCATTGAGAGGAGTCCAAACCCTTTATCTGCCTGAAGCCCCTGTAGATGAGAAGCCGGTGGCTCTGTACATGGAGATCGAGGCACTTTGCAAATATCAGATCTAAATAGTAAATTCTAGGAAACGTCTAAATAGGTCATTTTCCAACTACAATCAATTCACGTCTTTACAATCGCAGAGAATGGTTTCATCTTTGGCTCGGATCCATATCACTCCTCTCATTACTTCTAATGATCCATCAATGGCTCGGCTGGCGGTAATATTCTGGAGATTGGTTCTTGATGGATGCAACTTACAGGCAGAGCTGGGCAGGCGGTGCTGCCCTCCGCAGAACATGACCTCCTTACTATGCCAGGGACGTCGCGCTGTGCGTCTCACTCCGCTGAACCGCATTAGGCTGAGCAGCAATTTGCATCCATTCCACTTAATCTTTTGTTGGTTTTATTATAAGTGAAGGCGCTCCCTTTATGGAGAATATTTTGTTTCGAGGCAAAGCCGGCATCTGTACACCGTTTCATGTTACACATCTAAAAGGGAACGTGGAGTCTTTTAAAGGTTTCTTTTTTAGGAAAACACACAAAAAATGAGCCTGAGTTACATATAAAGAAACGAGGTTCATTCGCATTAACACACATTGATCATTTGTAATTGTATATGTGTATGGGGTCCTCTATATGTATTCATTACAATGCAAGTCTATTACACACGATGAGAATATCGGATGAACGAGCGGTTGTTTTTTTTCGCCTGCTAGTCTCACATCGAAAGGGGAAAAGGTTACTAAAGATACAAAAATTCTCCTTTGAAAGAAAAGAAATTCGAAAGTGATGTCATGTATTGCGTTGTATTCAGGGGCGGACTGACCATTTGGAAACTCGGGCGCTGCCCGAGGGCCCTGAGTCAGTAAGGGGCCCTATGAGATGCCCCTGGTACCTTTTTCATAGGCATTTTTGAGTTTGGGCAAGGAAACAGGGGCCCCATGATCCCCTATTGCCCGGGGGCCCTATGAGTTGTCAGTCCACCCCTGGTTGTATTTGTATTGTATTTTCAGATGACTATTGTACTGAGTAAACGAAAACTGTGCAATCTGGTGTCGTACGAGAAAAATTTTTGCGCTTGTCCCTTTGGATATTGTCGTACGAATTGTCGTGATCGGCTCTCGAAAGCTGTGTACTAACGATCCGATTATCGGACGATCGGTCCTCGTACGAAAATGTTCG